AAAGACATTATATCCTTCGTGGGCTAAAGTCATTAAAATACTTCACTCAGGATGCTGGCAGACATTTCAACCGGGCATGGCTTAAGCCAGTTTGTGCATGCATGTATGTAGGTGTGTAGAAATATTTTAAATGCGAAGTGAGTTCATATAATAAGTCACTCGTACAAGCTGTAATTTATGTAAACGTACGAAAGAAATGAACCCTAACCACGCTTTATTTCCTATGCGCATTCTACAAGTGAAAATCATAAATACACCGTATAACTTCAGCAGATATTTCGTTACGATTCTCCAACGTCGGTGACCTTAACCCGGAGGCACAGTTAGTATTCCCAGGCACACAAATTCATTATTTCAGAAGTCTCTAGCTCGCACGCTACAAATTACAGACGTTATAGTAATTTTATTGGTTTATTACAAAAGCATTAAGCACACTCTTATTTCTTTTTATATATTCTTGGATAAATTACCAAATCAAAATTCTAAAGATTTGTTAGGTATATTAACCTATAAACCACAGTCAGTAGAATCTGACTGGCTATGAGCTTGGCCAACTGAGTTCGAATCCCGTAACAGTAAAGAATGTTACATTTGTCACCAAATCCAGGTCGGCTCTGGGTTCCAGCACCGTGAGCCCTTTCCCAGTGAGTTAAATGGCTAGAGGATTTGTAACGTACATGAGGATTTAAACAAACTGATAGCAGTTAATTGCGTTGTAGTATAAACTGTTACGTGGTTAGAGCAAATCATACGGTGTCGGTCTTTGTTGACGGCACTCTCCGATTTCACGATCATTATGAAACCTTTCTCATCTTCGTGTACATGTTGTGAAAAACGTATTTTGGGTACCACAGGTACTTCATTTCACTGACATTTAACTGAATTTTAAAAATATAAACCAATTGTCAAGTAATACAGAGGCAAGCAATAATCTCAGTTTCAAAGATGTTTATTCCAAGCAACAGACGAAAAATATGTGATGCGTTTCACTGTTACAAAATAAAAAAAATTCATCTCGATATTCATCATTTCAATGTATAACAGTGAAAGCGTGACAGTCAAAGTAGGAAACATCTCAGCACCATAACCCAATAGCATCACTCTATTTGTGACAAACCGTCACTCATTATCATGACGAGTACTGTGATAATCAATGGAAGATGCCAAATATATTTGCAGTGGAGTGGACAAATTTGATTTATTATTAAAATGCAAATGAACATAACTCCGCTAGAGTTCATGAATAAATTAATGTTTAGGAACGCCTGTCGTAAACCAATTCAAGTAAATACGGCCTGATTCCGAAGTTCTAACACATAAGTTACAAGATTAACGTCAATTGCAGGGCTTAATTCAAAACTTCTTACACGGGATAACACAAAATGGCTTTTTATGGATTTGTGTTCTGTAATTGTGCCATTTAATATTTATCCTATTTCCTTTTGCTACACTTTATTTAACCCTTTGAAAAGCTGAAGCTCCTCTAAATAATATTTAAGAATTTAGTCCGTACCGCAAAGAAAACAACACTTCACCATGACAAAAATCAATTTGTTAACGCTGTTCAAGAAAACAATCCAAGTTTACGCTAAGAACTTTACAAACCCCATAAACACAAAATTAATAGTTGCCAGTTGTTAAAAACAGCTGGCTGGTACATATAGTTACCATTCAACTTTAAAGGAATAATAGCGTCCATGACAAAAAACCTTCAGTATCAGAAAGCTCGTTTCACTAAACATTATTAACCATTCGATGTTAGTGACAGGAATGCGGTGTAATTTCTTAAAAGCACCTAATATTTAAACACTATTTAAATTAATAATATCACTACCAACAATAGATTGTCATTTCGATAATCCCATCTAGATAACGAAACAAAATAAAATTTATTTTTGACTGTCAATCAACGCAGATCCCCTTTCCATCAAAACAATAAATTGAACCTTTTTCTAGTTCACTCCAAACAGATCTATTAATTCAAAAAGTGGACTCCTGTAAAGCGATTTTAGAGCTTCGATATTGGTCTTCTGGATTTTTCAGCCGTGCAGACTTGTAGATAGATCAACGTTTCAAAGGAAATGCTGCCTCTTCAGCTCTGTAGATGAAGCAATATGTTCCTCCGAAATATTGGTATTTACCTCAAAGTCCACAAAGAGTTACAACGTATAAAACCATCGACATCATCACCCCCTTGAGAACCTCAAATCTCATACAATTTTAAAGTACATACATAAAGGAGTCAACAGTTCCCGTTGAGTAATTAAAAACATTCCATTCAAAATTAGAAGCTAATGGGCCATGACAAAGAACTTCTGAAAGTTATTAAATTCTATGGTTAAGTCGTGCGACAATTCCAATCCGGAAATGAGGAAGGAAAACGCCTTTTTATTCACAATATCAAACAATCATCCTTTTCAGAAGTTAAAATTAAAACACATCTGACAAAACATTTCTAATATACAGCAGGAGACAAAGTTCGTCTGTGTCAACATCGCCATTTTATGTGCATTTCATATAACAATAACTCGAACTTCATATCTCTTTCTATTGCAGAATAAGTGGTTTTCATGATAATGTATTATTTTGTTAATTCCTGGAATAGAGATGGGAAATTGGGTCAATCCTACACACTGACAGAGTTTCAAAATGGTTTAAGTGATTCACAGAGTTTGGATGGAATCTAAGCCCTGCTCCATGAGTAATTACTATGAATCGAAATTTATTAACAAGAGTTTTCACTTCCAAACTGGCCAATGGTACAGCACTGGACAGAGCATCTTTAACTATTCACACTGAAGTTTCCGCAACCCTAAGACCGGTGTAACCGTTCTGGGATCACGATGTGTTATCAGTTTTTCCTCAGT